GGCGACCCCTTCACCTTCTTCGCGATGTACCTCCCGTTGTTCATCAAGAAAATGTTGCTCAAGGCCAGATCCTTGTAGAGCTTCGATTTCGACTCCAGATTGGAGTGCAGCAAGTCCATTACCTCGATTAGTTGAGCTGCGAACGGATTGTAATTGTCATTGCCGCTACTGTTGCTGTTGCGGTCGCCGTCTCCTCCACCGCTTGTCTGAGAATTTTCGCGGTCCTCGTCGAAGGATGATGGCTTCTCGGCATGCTTGTGCTCCTTGAAGACCTGCTCCAATGTGCTCTTGTACTCGCAGGCGTACTTGAGGTAGTTCATGACGTAGCGGGTGAGAGGGTGGACTGCGCCGCCCGGTACAGGGGTCTTGCTGTTGTCGGCCTTGATCGAGCTCTCCAGATCGCAGAAGATTGCGACGGCTGCCTCTCCAAGGCGATACCGCAATGACGATATCTCCGTCTTGGGATCCGCAAAGACGGAGGGTTCGTCCTGCTCGCCATCGTCGGGGAGCAGGGCTTCGACCGTCGGCAGCACGTCGCGCATGGCCTCGTAGACGTCGAGCACCTTGAACAGCTTCTCGGCGGAGCGTTTTGTCATCGTGACAGCCTCCGCGAAGGTGAGGAGCTGGACGATGGCACCGTTGGCGAAGCCGAGAAAGAGGCGGTCGGAGATGGCGCGGTGGCTGGCGAACACAGCCTCGCACAGCTCGCGCTCGGCGGTAAAGGAGGCCGTGATGGTGTGGCGAAAGGCCTTAACCCACGTAGCGATCTCAGATTCCAAGTTCTCCCACGCCATCTTGATCACGTCTTCGATGCCAACCTTCTCGAACCCGAGGCTCGGCAGTCCTGCCTCGAATGCATTGCGTCGAGCAATGGAGAACACCTGGCAGCACTCTGTAACGTACCCGGCAGAGATCATGGCGTCGGCGATCCTGTGCAGCCTCTCGGTGTTCTCCGGTATGTATGCCTGGGAAGACTCGCAGGGACTGGATTCCGACGAGGGTGACACGCTGCGTTCCGGCTCGTGAAAGCGGTAGATTAGTGACGGCAGCTGCTTGGTCCTCGAACTGCTGCTGGCTGCTTCCTGCTTTGTTCTGGAGTCCTGAAGCAACGAGTGGAATTCGTCTTCGAGGAAGCACATGGCGTGGTGGAGGACGCTGCCGGAATGGTTCATCGCCTCGTTGTACTTGAGCTCCGACGAGAATTTCGCCACCGCCGATGTCAGTTTCGAGACCCTGTCGATGGCATCGAGGAGCGAGAGTTCGTCGTCGCACGAGGGCCATTTCTCCTCGCCGGTCTCGTATTTGGCGATCTCCTCCTCCACCAAAATGACAAACTTCTCGACGGTGGATTCGGGGATCTCCGGCGGCTCGTGGCTCCCATCTTGGCCATCTTCGACGGCGAGGAGCAAGCGGAGGAATCTATCTATGTCCTCGGAGATGGTGAGCAAAGTAGCTTCAGGCTCCTCGTCATTGCTTGCTTCTTTCTCCTCCTCCTGCTCCTTTGTGGCCTTCTCCTCCTCCCGATCCTCCTCTATTGTCTCCTGGTCGTGTCTCTCCTTCTTCTCATAGCTCTGTTCGAGCTTGATGGAGCCTAAGGAGAGGTTGCGGTTGATCTCGCGGTGCTTCTCGTCGCGGCTGGAGGAGAAGCTGCTGGATTTCTTGGGAACATGAGGCTGGTTGCACTCCATCGGTGTCCTCCTTCCCCTGTTGTGTTCTTCTTTCCACAAAACTAGTAACAAGGCAAAGCCGACGGAGAAGGGTTACGCATAGTGAGAGAAAAAGAGAGGATAGAAGGGGAAGGGAGGGTGTCCAGCACAGAGAGAGAGAGAGAGAGAGAGAGAGAGAGAGAGAGAGAGAGGTATGGTTGTGTGAGGAAATAAGGGGGTTTGGGCTGTTTCCACTTGTACATATGTCAATATAGGGATGGGAGATGCTATTTTTGGTCCTGCAAAATAGCTCGGTTGGACCAAGTCAATTGTGCATTGGGTGAACGGGAAAGGCATAGCAGGGGACGCATGCATGGTTGGCTCCACGTACCAAAGTTGGAGCCACGTAAAAGTAGTTGTTGGCAAGAGGAGACTAAATAATTGCATTAAGGATCATTTTAAAATACGCCCGTTATTTTCTCAAACTTAAAAATAATATTTAAAATTTTCTTTTATATCTAATGAAAAATGACTTGGATCAATCATCGGAGACGCATGACTAAAGTTGATCTAGTTCAATTTGTTTATATAAAATACATAATTAATTTTGGGAGTGCTATGATCGATTTTTAAATTATTTTATATTTAATGATAAAAGATTTAGGATCATCTAAATTGATTTGATCCGAGTGCACACTCGATAATGTTCCTTCGATACTTTAATTAAACAAGAGACAAAGATACGATTTTTTATAATAAAAAAAAAGAGACAATCCGAAGACTTTTTTATTATATCAAAACTGTAATATATTTTTTTTATAAAAAAATATTTCAAATTTGAATAGTCAGAAAAAATATTAATTTTAATAAAAATAATAATTAATATGACCATTAATTTATTTCTCTACATCAATGTGAGTATGCATAATATGTGAATTAATTTGAATTATTAACTTCTCATTTACAAAATTTAGCAAAATGAACATTACTGACAACAATCTATTGTCACTATATTTTGTTACATACATGCAAACCTCAATAAGACAACTCTTGTCTTGACTTAATTGTGCCAAAGATAGATCTGATAGCATGAGTTGGGGAAATGAATTCCCCTCAATTTTTACACTGATCCTGCTGTTCTTTGTTCTTCCCTGACAATGGAATGAGGTTGTGATCTTTTCATTAAAAAAAAAAATTCCAATCAAACCTTCCACAACCAATCCACATTTCATATAGAATAAACTTTTTGGTATGCCATACAAAATTCCTGTTTCAACCATGAACACTAATTTATTCACACAAATCCAAGAATACACTGTTTTATGTCCAAGCATCTGATAACAACTTGTATCTGAATTAGAAGAAACAACTTGACAAGCATGCTTCCATTCCCACACAATTTTTTGTTGCAGATTGGGGATGAGCAAAGTCAACGGGCAGGCTTCTCATGGCCCTTGATGGTTGTTCTTGTTCTAAGTGGTCCGCATTTAAAGTCAACCATTGCAAAACGACAAGGGCTCTTGGACCACTCATCAACAAGTCAATTAAGCAAGGATTCTAGAAAGCCTCTGGCACACATTTCTGCACCATGTCAGATATGTTATCCATGCTAGACACCAAACAACACAGCCACAAGCATTGCAACATGCTCATCCATCATTTTGGTATGTAATGAACTTCACATTAGGGAAACAAAAATATTAAACAGCATATAAACACTGCGAGTTCATTTCCTCGGTCATGATCCGTAGATGTATCAACATCTGCTTGACCAATTACATCTTAACACCAAAGAGAATCAAGCTGGTAACGATAGAGGAATAAACAAGATACTGCATTCTACATGACAACAAACAATTTCAAGAATTTAGTAATCAGCCTGTTGCAGCAACCTATGATCGATCAATTTTAGCAACTCTTGGAGTTGCTACTAGATTCCTACCAAAGATATTATAAAAATGTATACATGTTTCTTGACATTGTTCTTTGTAACTGTTCTCCGAGTACAACAGACAATGACCACATCTCCATACATCGTACATGGCGATACTCCCAAGATGTTTATCGAATTAGTAGATCTCTAGATTTAGGTTCCTGCCATCCTGAACCACGATCTAAAATCCAGAAATAATTAAACCAAGGTAAATCAGTTCCAAGACAAATTACTGACAAAATCATTGTTCATAAGAAAGAGCAGTGATATCCAGCAGCAGCAAACCAACAATCTATCATAGTATATACAGAAAGAATCTAAATTCAGAAAAGCAAGAAATGGTACCTCTTTGAGATCATGGTGTTCTGAACAGGAAAGAAATGGATAGGAAAAACGTAAAGAAGTAAGACCTCAGAAATAAGTTGGCAGGGGAAGCTGAGACAAGTCTGGAAAAATGCATTTCCTTTGATAAGGCCTGAATCAGGACTAAAACAAGTATATAACAAGATGCATATTGTCACCAAGTCAAATAAGATGATGAAACACATCTCTCCCTCTCTCTCTCTCTTCTCGAGTATAGAGGTACCACTTGAGAAGTGTTCGATCAGTGGAGGAAGTCCTTTCTAAAAGGAAATAAATCTTGATGAGAATATCGCCGTACAGAACCAAAACTGCTAACTTCGTGTTATCGGGTAGAGATGTGCACTCATAACTAAACAATACAAGAAGCAGACCAAACTGCGATGCTCGGTAGGCCATCCTGTTTAGAAGACTCTCCAAGCATAACAGTTTTTGGAATATGATTATTTACAGATCATGAAATTGTAACGACAATTATTGATCCAATACTCCACACATGAATAAATAGATTACCCTGTGTTCATGCTCGGGCAATGGAAATGCATCAATGATTGTTTGAAAAAACTAGGTAGATTGGAATAATGAAGACATGTACACCAAAGACACTAAAACATAACACAGAGAATCACAAAATTCAATCCAATCCCTTCTTTTTACAAATGTGTTTTGGTAAATACAAGAGCACATTACCTGCTTAGATTATTTGTGGAAGAAAACATTTCATCCATCTCTTTGATTCCTTCCAATTGCAGGATCTTCCATCCATCCCTAGCCTGCCACCACATGCAGCTTGGAAACCCAAGGAAAGCAAGATGATATTATTATATGACACAAATTTTGCACACTCAATTCCATTTCAAGAACACCTCAATGTGATTTCTTCATTCAGCACCATTCAAGCAATTCAACCCCTCGGTGCGGCTTCGTACAATCCGAAGGAAAACTTCCCTGACCTGACGCTCCAATGGATCAAGACCTTCCTTCATAGCTTCGTAGACTTGGGCCAGCTCCTGCAGACCCTGCCTCACCTCCATCGCCTTGTCATCTGCCATGGGAAACTGGGCGGCATCCATCAGGTCCGTCAGGTGGTGCACGCACTTCTCGATCTGGTGGATTTCCTTCAACAGTCCAATCGAGTTCTTTCTGTCCTTCTTCTTGGACTCCTCCACGATCCTCTCGTGGAGGGACATGATCGGACCCGACCAGAGGTAGCTCCGAGGGACGGAGAAGTGGATCTGGAGACCGCGGTCTTGGCAGGGGATCGCCGCCACGAGGGCCCACATCACGAAGAGGAGCAACGAGTTCATCGTGTACACAGGCACCGCGAGCCCCGCCGTCTCCACGACCTCGTGGCCACGAGGTGCGGCTATGTTGCTCCCTATGGCCTGAAGCTGCCGCGCTGCGGACCAGGATCGGGAGACGCTCCAGGAGAGGGAACGGAAGTGCGAACGACGTCCGCTGCTTGATGAGGAGGATCCGCTATTCCGGCCAAAGGAACGGTTGCGGTGGGACATGACGGAGCCTGTGTCCTTCTCGTCGAGCATAAGGATGGCGAGGTCGCCGAGCGCCTTCTTGGCCCGGCGGAGCTGGCCCTCGCTGAGTTCCCGGTGACCGGGACCGAGGGTCACGAGCACGATCTCGAGGTGCTTCCGCCACTGCCGAACCTGATCGACGCCATCGCGCACGGCGTTGCAGACGTCGAGCGCCTTCACGGCGCGCTCAAAGAAGTCGGACACGAGGCGGTCGATCAGGGTCGGGGGGCGGCGGTGGCCGAAAAGGATCACCCGGAACTCCTCCTGGCACATCAGAAAGGTGTCGAGGAGCCGACGGATCCAGGAGATGGAGAGAATCTCATCGCCGCCGCCGGCGAGGTCGTTGAAGAGGTCGGCAACCTGGCGCTGGAAGGCGTCGAACTCCCGCTGCTCGCCAGCGTCGATGTGGTGGCGGTGGTGTGCGTCCATCGGGTGGGCCGCGTGGTCGCGCCGTAGGCTCAGGAACGAGCGGCCGGTGGACGCGAAAGGGGCCGACAAGCCCTGGAAGTCCGCAGCGGGCATTGTCACACCGCCGAATCCCCCAAAACGAAGACCAGGGGCATCAGCGGAATCCCGAGTGCGGTCGAACTTGAAGGAGAGGTGGGGAGATTGGAGGAGGGGAAGCAGGGAATTCGATCGATGGCGGAGGTCGCCGATGCCGGACGCCCGAAACCCTAGTGGTCCTCTTTTATCGCCATTGGAAAGCGTCTCGCCCTTCCTTTGGGCGGGGCCCATAAATTATTCCTTTCTTGGCGGTAAAAAGGACCAGAGACAGAGAGGAGGGGAGAGGGTCTTTGTTTTAACCGCGTCGCGATAGAGCAGACGCTCTCGTGCCACGTGGCGACAGGACCGGTTCGCATACACGTCGACTGAAGGCGTACCCCGGTGGGTCCAAGCGACGTGTGCGCCCTACCGCATCCGGGCGGATGCTTTTCCTCCGGAGGGCCGCGCTTGATCTCCGCTCGGTGGAGATGGACCGGGTCCAGGTCGTCGTCATGCGATTTTGGTTTGACCAAAATAAACCGGATGACTGGGGCCCAACGCAACGAGAGGCCATAGGCTCGTCCACGTCCCCAGAGGATTCGAAGCGATAATTAATGCTTCCATCCCGCCGCCCACCCCCCCTTCACACCGTCCAAGTAGTCACGATCCGTTCCGCGGGGCCCACATCAGCCACCAATAAATATCGTTAGGTTCCGCGGATAAGCCACCGGCGAAGTAAAATTCACGTGGCGATTTACTCGGGGAGAGGATAACTAAAGTATAGAAAGGGTGCACCGGATTCGTCAGCCATCGACCGTCCGATGAGGCGTCGGTCAGGGACGGACGGGCTTGATGCGGA